GCTTGCCCTGGTGGGGCCGAGGCCCGGCTGCGCTGGGCCGCAGAGGTGGTTGCAGCTGCGCTCCTGGCTTTTTAACCAACCTGCTGACACAGAGTCACCTGCAGGGAGGTTTGGCTGGAGAGAAACCACTGCTGTTGGAGCTGCGAGGAGGGAAATCCCAAGCTGAAAAAGAGGAGTTGACAGCACCGATAATTAAATCCAAAATGAGGAGGGTTTTTTTTTTTTTCTGGCTCTGATCCCTGCTTTCCTCCCTTTGATGCTTTTCTTTGCTGGATCCTGTCAGGATTCACGTTAAACTTCGGGTGATACGGTAGCTGCTGGCATGGCTAACTTTCCAGCTCTCATCCTGGGATTAAGCATCTCTGCATCTTAACACTTTTTTTTTTCTTCAGTTGGGCTGATAAAATTAGTAATCGGACGTTCAGATCATCCCGGCTGACTCAGCAGATGGTCAGCGTCCAAAAGCAATCCCCCGTTCAGTTAAGGACCGGATGTGGCTTGCCAAATATCAAAGAAAACAAAGCGAGAGTATTATAATTTTTTAAAAGCCTATTTCCCTGCAAATAAGAATCTTGCTGGAGTACTGAGCGTCAGTGTGTGTCCAGGAGTGATTTGGGGCCTATGAAACCCATGGAAACCTTTCTGAAACCTTTCTAAAACATCCCAAAAGTGATGCTTGATGCGTGGGAGTCGGTGGCTGTTCTTCATTCGCTCTGTCCCACCCAAGCTTTTGTTGCTTTTCATCCTTCTTGTTGTGGAGACGAATGCGTATGCTGGCTGTCAGAGCAGACAGCCTGGGCGCTTCCAAGCCTGGAGGCAAGAGGCATTGCTAACAGGTGGGCTGTTTTGGAGGGGTGCGCAGGCGGTTCGTTTTGTTGCAGTGGGCCTGTGTGGTGGAAGCGCTGGAGGATCAGGCTGGTAAATCTGGCTGCTGTAGCGTCATGATCGGAGTCTAAAACTACCTGTTCGCTCGGAGACCCTCCGGGAAGGAGTCTTGATTTGCTTCGGCTTGTGCTGGTGTCCGCTGGCTGGGAGATGATGACCTGAAGATGGTCACGCAGGGAAGGACCCTGTGGAGGGATGTGGGGAACTGGTGTGCCTTGACATCCCTAGCAGCAGATTGAAATTTTCCTGCTCTAGCTGCGTTGTCTCATCTCCTCTTCCCTAATCCGCTCAGCTTTGTGGGAGTCGTTGTCCAAAGCATTTGCAAAGTTGTTAGCTCTGGATAGCTTCTGGCCGAGTGTGATCCTGGCCGTG